AAACACTTCAAGAAAAAGTCATCTTTCTCTCGCATGTACACATTGTATATAACATCTTTTAAATAATATTTTGAAATATTTTTTACCTAGAAAATCACAACTTAGTCAATGCTTAACTCAAAATAACTAATACAAAACTCTAATAGCTTTCAGTTTTTTGTTCTGAACATGTTAGACATGTAAAATGTTTTTAAAACCTTACTTGACAAAATAAAACATAGATAAAACATGTTTCATTTCACTTTTGTGAGCATTAACAACTATGAAGATTATTCATCTCTTTAAACATTGTTTATTGACTTACAAATAACATGTTCACATGGTTTTGGTAAAATATCCTCATCAGGTAACAACAAGTGGTTTTATAATCTCCAGAAAATGAACCTCTGCTTTGTAATTTATTTCTTATAATAAAATGGTACAAGTAACCAAACGGTTTGTCATATACAACAACCAGAACAAAACTCTTTGATTCACACAAGAATAAGAAATATTGTTGGTTTGGCACCTAAGACATGTTACGTTCACTTTGTATGTACATCTGAATCTGGATCTCAATGGGATTCTAGTTTAAATAAGTTTTGGTCAACTTAAAAAACATTCAGTAACATTTACCCACTTGTATTCCCTACCAATAAAGCAATAATAAACCAATGAAGTCTAATATTACACAACTATCCTTTATTACCCGGCTAAAAACAAGAAAATGATTTCTTCCTGCTTCTAGTACCAAGTATCAGTATCAGTAGAACATTAATTATAGGGGATGCTGCCAAGATGGTATGTTTAAATTTTCCATGAGTCACTGGATCATGCATTTCGAGATGAAAACTCTCAATCAGCTATAATCATTTCATTGTCAAATACATTTTGCGTCACGTATACGCTTTTGCAACAGCATTATAGTTAACCTGTGGAGAATATGAGGGTTGAACGCAGAAAGTGACCAAAGATCAACAGTTCACACAGCCCAGTTGTTACACATGCGATCGTTTATGGTCTGAATGGCATCATTACACAAATATAGATAACTCTTATTGACATACGAGGTCATCTCACTCATTTCCAACCACTTGGGTCGAATAATATGTGCTGAAAATGACCTTTATCATGCTCCCAAAATCCAAGTATGTATCATCCTAAGCTGATGATGTGCTCTGTAGTTCATCGAATAACAAACAAAACGTCATTTTTAACCCCCAGGCCTAAAACAAGTTTGAAATATTCATTTCGATGTTTGTAGAATGCAACTGACGTGAATTTTAGTAAAACTTGAAGAGATTCAACAAAATAGCATCTTAACTCCTTTGCCTATTTGAACATCGGAATGAAGAGTGATTACACTACATATTTCTGTGTGATAAACTTTTTACATAAAAGTACTAGAGCAATCTAGTAAACTTTAACTGTCAACCATTTATTTTAAACCTTAAATGTAATTGTGTTGTGTGGACAGGGAACAGGGAATCGAACTTGATGTTTGATCAAGTTATTTGAATGGCCAATTCAATAACTGAATAATCAAAGTTAATTTTACTTCCTTTCTATTATGTACATTACACGAATATCAACTTATTCATATCTTCAATATACAAGCAAAGTTGTATTTAAAGGTGTATTTCAGAAATAAATGAAAGTTCACCGGTATTCGGTTAAACATTAAAAAGATACACATCAAATGCTTCATGATAATTAACAAATGGAACAACTTAACTATCTTTTTTATTTTCAAAGTCATCAAAAACCTACGGTAAAATAACTTGTTTCACGTTAACCTGTTTTTCACTTCCTGATTGTACAACAATATTATTTGATTTCATATTGAGCTGTTATTTTTTCATGTGTTACTATTAACTTTTCGTTCTTCCGCTAACCAGTACATTTGATCTTGTATAGAGAATTCAACATTTTAAATGTTCAAAACAGTGGTTCCCTTTGATAAATTTGAACAGAGAAATGAGAAGACATATTTTGTGAGATAGTACCATTTCGTACTTTCTCGTCAGTCACATACAAGCAACATGTTATTTGTGTAAATACAGTTTTGAAGATAAGGTCAAAATTTCTTATTTAGCATGACATTCACTCACTAGAACCATGGTAAACAAAGGTCAACATACAGTTGTTTTTGAACACATAAAGTTGGACTTTTCCGACCAATCAAGATAGCTTCGAGTAGTTTCAGTGTGTGTGGATTTTGATGACATGTCACAACTCTAAAAGCTGATTTTGGGTCAGTTTGATGACCACCCATCATTAGATGTTTTGCAATGGACGAGGCTGGGTTTCTTGATCGATTTTGAGATGATGGGCTAGGTTGATGAATCACGGATTTGATTGACCATTTTGGAATATGTTCCCCTATCCTGTCTTCCTATCGGCAATCTGTCCTCCCTAAGTAACTTTCTTCGCAGTTACATGTGAATTGGTAAATACTGTGGGATTTGGACTGAATCGGTCTTGGAGACTTGATCGGGGTAACTGAGATCGATTGAGTTGTTGTGATAAGCCTCAGATTAGCTGCATTGCAGGTCTTTTTTATTGCAGCTGCAGTCTGTTTGGTTGTAATTTTCATGTAATGATCACCCTTGAAAGGTAACTTGAAAGGTAACCCTTGAAAGGTACACTGGTTTCTTGGGCACATCAGTTGCTATCAGCTTCGTCATAGTTGTGCTCTGATGACCAATAAACGTTTCGGGATATCCGTTTGATTTAAGTGTGTCAGTAATAAGCTTGAATTCGTCGTTCAATGTATCAGCAGTGCAGATTCTACTTGCTCGAGCGAATAAAGTTTTGACAACAGAACGTTTATATTGTATGGGGCAGAAACTAGTGAAGTGGAGGTACTGTCCCGACCAGGTGGGTTTGCGGTGTACTTTTCGTCTGATTGATCCGTCTGGACGGCGATGGAGCAGGATATCGAGGAAAGCTAGTTCATTATTCTTTTCTTCCTCATAAGTGACTTTCAGATTCGGGTGAATCGCATTAAATAAATCATTGATTTCATTAATATCTGTAGAATGTGGTAATATGACAAGAATATCGTCGACATATCGTTTGTAAAGTGTAATACCATCGATGAAGTGACTCACTTGCCTTTCTATCATTCCCATGAATATGTTTGCTAAACCAGGTCCGAGAGGGCTTCCCATAGCCACTCCATCGATTTGTGTATATGCTTTACCTTGGAAATAGAATTTTATATTCTTTGTGCACAGTAAAATTAGATCTCGTTTACCATGGTTCTAGTGAGTGAATGTCATGCTAAATAAGAAATTTTGACCTTATCTTCAAAATTGTATTTACACAAATAACATGTTGCTTGTATGTGACTGACGAGAAAGTACGAAATGGTACTATCTCACAAAATATGTCTTCTCATTTCTCTGTTCAAGTTTAAATGTTGTTCTCTATCCCTGTAATGCTTTTTTTTTATTAAAACAAACTAACCAATCTATCCATTTTTGCATATTAATATTTATGTAATAATTAAGTGCCCTATTTTGGTTGTTGTTTAAATTAATTAAATAATGAATACACCTAGATAAACAAAACTATAGATTTTTAATAGATAATAGAGAGTTGGAGAAATTGAACAATTATGTCATCTAGTTTCGAATGCTGTTCTTACTCTTTTCAAAATCATTAAGAAACATTTATATTTGTGATATGGGGTTCGCATAAATATCAACTTTAATTTGACTTGACACCATTAACAAGCTAAATTTGAAATAAGTTTGTCAACAGTTTGTTTGTTTACCATTTACATAATATTTTTCTATCGATGATTTGATAATTCTGATTATTATAAATTGAAATTACCTTCACTACACAAACTTCTTTCATGTTGTACATTATGGGAGAAAATCATGAAATCAGTAGCTGGTTCATTGATTTACGTGTCTCATCCTTCATCAATTAGCCAAAGATTTAAGACTCCTTTACCTTACTAATAATCAGAGGATTAGTTGTATACTCCTGTAGTGGAACAATTCTACGAAGAAAACGAGATTGGTGAAAAATAAACATTATTGTACTCGTTTTGTTTAACTGTACCAAAAAACACTTCTTGCGCACAACGTTCTTTTGTTGTTGCTGCCATTTATCATAACGTGCTGCTCTCTATGTAATGCCTACTTTCTCCTTCAATAAAATACTAAAACATGGATTTATTGTAATTTATGTGACGGGGTGGTATGGAACATTTAGTGGTGATCATAGTCAATCTCGACTCGGTCACCACTAAACCCCTTTAAGGTGGATCCAGTCAAGAATGACTATGATCACCATTACATACTAATTACGAGCTCGTCACAGAGACGATAAGCAAATGCATGTGAAAGAATAGATTTGCTGGCGATTTCGTGGTATCGAAAGAATACCGAAATCGGGGCGAAATTACAGAAGCAGTGGAGCAAAAATGGCAGCAACACAAACGGAAGGTTTGCGTGTACAGATAGTAATAAACAAAGAGGTTCAGTAAAACAATCACTTCTACAATTGGTTATAATAATGAATGTTTCTATAAAACCAATAGCGTTCTCTTCATACAAATGGATTCACTACACCCCCATCGATTTACGTAGAAAATAGTGGTCCTTATAAAATTGACCTGTCCCTATGTTACATTGGAAGACATAACGTTTATGTCTATAATTTCCTTGATATTATATGTACACTTTCCCATTCTCATTCCTCTTCATTGCTTCTAGGTAAAACACTTTAGATGAAATTTCTAGATTCTTATAAACCACAAATGAAATTCGCACATTCCTAAATAAAAAAATGTATTATTCAAAAGCAGGATATTCCTTCCTATCCACTTTTTTTTTGTAAAACTCAATTCATCATGGTCATATGTCTGACTTTAAAATCTTCAAAACCACAGGGAGAATTTTTCATGTTTTACTAATACGAAGGAGATGATCACATACTATAAGACACTTTTCCAGTGAACATATATATAGTTTTTTCTACATACGTCTTTCAATTTATGCCAAATGACTGATGAAACCGGTCACTATCTTTACACTACAAGATCAGAAAACAATAGTAGACCGATAGAATTATTAAAATATTTGAAACATTCCATTGCAAAATCTCAATGTATGGAAGGTGAGTATAATATGTATTTTTGAAAGTGTTCAGATTTATAAATGGGATATGTTATTGAGGTGGTGATTTTAAATTTTTGTACTTAAAAAGTTTGGTGAGTAACAGTCAAAAACACAGTACCATGATCAAAATTCAGATCTCTTTCCTCAGTACTATCAAATATCATATTGCAACTTGATCGATAGAATTTGATCAACACTACAGGTTTAGACAACCATGACATTGATCACTACTCTGTGGTCAATCAGTTGTAAACATATAATGTCTAACAGGTGGTCAGTCGTGGCTCAAGTACCTTAGTAGTAACCTTTTAAACTGTGAAGCTAGGTTTTATGAATTCAAGTCCTATTTGCAGTATAGACAATAGTAGCATTACAAGCAATCATTACTGAAAATTATAAAATAGAGAAAAACCATGTCTCAGATCTTGACGTTTGTATAGAAAATTCTAAATTTGGTGTAGGTCAGTAGTTATTTGGAGTTCTAGATGTTCTTCACTAGTAGAAATGCTGCCCTTACTTTGCTGATCCTTGCCTTCACATATGCACCAGATCGATCGTGCTCATCAGTGTTGCTGCACAGATATGTAAAGGCTTTTACATCTTCCAAAGCTTCTCCATCAAATGTGATTCGGTTAATGCATGTTCTATTGTATCGAAGGATCTTGCCTTTTCCTTTGTGTATGTTGAGATCTACTGCTGAAGAGACAGCACTTGTTGTTGCGTGTGGGATGGAAGAGCTAGGTCATCTGCGAAGTCCAGATAGTCCAGCTGCCTCTAAGTTGTCCATTGTATATCTTGCTTCCCAAGAGATAGTGAGGTTTTTCTAATCCAATCAAACACCAGAAGAAAGAGAAAGTGTGAGAGTAAGCAAACTTTCCCGACACCGGTTTTCTCTAGGAATGAGTCTGTGAGCTGTCCTTCATTTGCGATTGATGTTGAGTATTTTCTCAGGCACGCCATAGTGCTGAACGAGCCCCCATAGTGTCATCCTTTCACTACTATAGAATGTTTTCTCAATGTTAATGAAGTTGATGTAGAGTGGTGAATCCCATTCAATTGACTGTTCCACGATGACCCGTAATGTCACAATTTGGTCGGTAAACGACCGATCCTTACGAAATCCAGCCTGTTGATCTCGAAGTTGAGCGTCTACGAAGTCTTTCATTCTGTTAAACAAAACCCCATTGAAGACTTTGTCTGTTATTGAGAGAAGAGTGATGCCTTTTTAGTTCTCACACTCGGTGAGATCGCCTTTCTTTAGCATTTTGATCAGGTGTCCTTCTTTCCAGGATATTGGTACTTGTTCTTTATGCCAAATCTTGTTGAAGTGAATGTGGAGTATATTTGCAGTTACTGCTACCCACCTGTTTCTCTGTTCTCAATATGGCTGCTTACTTTGTCTTGCTTGCTTGTCACTGGTCGTTCTGGTTTACGATAATTCCCAGCGATCTTCTTTGTTATATCGAAAAACTGGCTACTGTTTCCATCTCTTGCAGCCTTTTCCACCGACACTACTAGTGTGGTGCTGTGTTGCGAACTACTTATAAGTAGTATATAGCGTGAGTGTCAACGTAAAGTCTGGTAGCATAATATGGGGGGAAGATCAAGAAAGGAAGAGTCAGAAAACAATGGAATTTGTATGAAACGCATGAAGAGTGACAATGGATTGATGTTTGGCAACAGGAACAGTCCAGTTCCATAGTATGAACTGATCTTTTGCAAATGAACGATTTACGATATGGTTTTCCGATTTTACTGACTAACTCTGTAATTTTCGTTAAATACAATTCGGTTGCCCCCACCTGTGTTCTCATTCACTACACTAGATTAGGAAAAATGCCGTATTAAACTTTTGTGATGTTGTTCACCCCGACTAGAATAAAATACCTGTTCTGGATTCCAATGTTCATTTAAATTCAAGTTTACCAAAATAGGGAAGTCGGTTCACTGATATTATCGTCCTGTCAGTCAATTCGAGTACTTAAACTCTCAGGAATCATCAACTAGACTAGTTGTAAATATATTTTAAGACAGATTGTAAGCTTTGAAAAACAATTCATAAACGATTCAACTCATTCTTTGGTTACATACACATGTAGGTATTATGAGTGAATTTTAAATTCTAGAAACGATTTTTGAAATAAAAAATTTTTTCAAACTGATCTGTTGACATTTTTTCTTAGTTTTCTCTAAAAGTGTACACTTCAAGACAGATTTATTTTTGTGGTGAATTTCATCAACTATTATAATCATCAAATTAGTTCATGAATTGATTCATATCAGAGTTTACTAATTGAAAAACTTGACTAAACTTAAAATATGAAGCCGGCAAATTAAGTCCAACTTTAGAAGTGTATAGCCATGTCTGTAGTTCTATTTTATATTGGGTAAAAAAATTAAATAAAATTTCTTGTTAAAATTTATAACTATGAACTCAGTGACGATTATTTAAATCGATAAAGTGAACTCATCATAAATTTTTACAAAACGGAATTCAATAAAAGCACACAGATTATAAAGATACATGTAATGAAGTGTTGCATATTATAATCGAAGTTGGGAAATGATTGACAATGGAACTGCATAGATCTGTCTCATTTTTAATGTTTATTCTGATATTTCAATCTCGTACTAGTGGCTTTCAACTATCAACACGTTGGTCACATTTAAATACTGAAAAAAAGTACAATTTACACTAATGGAATTGAGACATTATTTTATTTATCGAAGGATACTTTTCAACCGTCCTATTATTGATAATGATTTTTGTTCACAGTTCCGGGTTCGTTGGTTAGTGCCAATAAACACTTAATATGATGTTACTGTTTCATCAAGCAAATCAGTTCATTTGCACTTCACTGTTAAATGATTGTTAACAACTTTAACTTAATTCTATTCAGTCTCTTATGTAGATTCCTGCATAATTTTAACAAATAACTCACCGTAAGTGAAGCCGGTTAATCTTGAATTAGAACAACACATATATAAGTGAACAATAGTGTTGTTTTCGACTAGATCGTCATCAGGCTTTACTCTAATATACATGAATATTTATAGATGAAAATGTTAAACCAGTCAAGGCAATTTGAGTCATAATCATAACGAAATGAAAAAGATTACGTCACTACACATAATAGGCAAAAGTACAAGTGGATAGTAGGAAGACAGGTGTACTGATAGTAGTAGGAAAATTTATAAAATATGATAACTTAAGTTTTTTTTGAAACCATGAATCGATCAATGTTAGACCACCATTAGAAACCTGGAAGCACTGGATGGCCATTTAGTCATGATATGGGACTCCTCAACTAAAGTTTTATCAATAGTAGGTCAAACGTGGATGAATAAACTTCAAATAATCATTAAAAACATCATCTTTGTTCACTAACGTACCACTCCTCGAGGCTATTGAATTCATATGAGAGCAAATTAAGGAAAAGTAAATCAACATTGGCTTGAGCGAAGATTTTCTTAAAGAATTGCTCCTAAGATGTACGATGAACGTCCATTTCGTATTCAACAACACTTATTATAGACAAATAGACGGTATAGCCATGGGTTCACCTCTAGGCCCGATTCTAGCTGATCTCTTCCTAGCAAAGCTAGAAAATGGACCACTAAATGAAGCTATTCAGAAATTCGATCTATATCGCCGTTAGGTCGATGACACATTCATCATTGTAGATCAGGACATCAGAAAAGAAAAACTCTTAGAACAATTCAACAGTGTACACCTGGCAATCACATTCGCTGGTGAAGAGGAATATGATAAAATACTGACTTTCCTTCACATCATACTAAGTAGGCGAAGTGATGAGTCATTAAGTAGAAGCGTATATAGAAAAAATCCCATTGCTTGCCAATACACTCACTTTTGTAGTTTTACACCTATCCGCTACAAAAGAAATTTGGTTAGATGTCTCACTAACAGAGCAAATATGATCTGTTCAGTGGATACTTTAAGTCAGGAGCTGGAATTCATCAACGGCTCACTAACCGAGATTGGTTATCCCAGCGCATTCATAAAGAAGTATATGTTTGCCGTAAAAAAGAAGTCGGTGGTTTCGACCGCCCAAATTAAGCCTTTATTTATGAAGTTACAATTCAACGGAGATGTGGCCTGCGATACTCTGCAGGACAGATTAATAAGATTAATTAATAGAACATTCAACGCTTCCAAACTTGCATTGACATTCTCCAGTCGACCAGTGATGTCTACCCGAACGAAGGAAAAGTTACCTGAGTTGGCCTCCTCTATGTGCGTTTACAAATTCAGCTGCTCCTGTGAAGATAGCTATATCGGGCGTACTTTCAGGCAACTTACCCAACGAATGAGTGAACATCTTACAGCATGGTTTACGAAGGGTCAGCCAAAAAAATACGCAACTCTATCTTAGCCCACCTGCTAGATAAATCTAGATCTTATCGGGTTATCTATCGTATACCTCCATCATTCCCCAACGGAGTTCGATCTCGTCTCCTACACATTGCAGAAGCCATAGGAATACGTACATTCAACCCCAGTTGATGTGTTCAGAAGAAATGCGTGACACCCCTATCTCTTCCGTGGCCGAATATGACGTAACAAACGATTGACATTATATATATTTTTTATTTTATTTTTTATTTTTACACATTTGCTTATGTTTTTGATGTTTTTAATGATTATTTGAAGTTTATTCATCCACGTTTGACCTACTATTGATAAAACTTTAGTTGAGGAGTCCCATATCATGACTAAATGGCCATCCAGTGCTTCCAGGTTTCTAATGGTGGTCTAACATTGATCGATTCATGGTTTCAAAAAAAACTTAAGTTATCATATTTTATAAATTTTCCTACTACTATCAGTACACCTGTCTTCCTACTATCCACTTGTACTTTTGCCTATTATGTGTAGTGACGTAATCTTTTTCATTTCGTTATGATTATGACTCAAATTGCCTTGACTGGTTTAACATTTTCATCTATAAATATTCATGTATATTAGAGTAAAGC